CTTTACATCTTCCCTTTGTTTTAACGTGTGACTCTACCCAGGTACTTTCTTACTTCCCATCTCCCTTTTGCTTCTTTTTTTTTTTTTTTTTTGCGATTGCCCTCCCTTTGCTTCTCCGGCCATGGCCTCCCAGAATACCTCCTCCTCCTCCTCTTCAGAGAGAACGGGTTCTGCCATCCCAGTCCCGGCTCCTCGGATGGGTCGTCGGCGACCCGGTCCGCGCAAGGCCGTGGCTCCTTCTTCCTCTAAGATGGGGAAGAAGAAGATGGCAGAGAAACCCACTCACTCTCTGGTTGACAAATTCGACCTTGAGGCTCTGTATGTCACCCAAGGGTTGGACCCTGCATTTCACCTCCTCGTGCCCTCTCGCGACCAAATTTCTTCTAACCCTCCTCCGGGGTACCTCACTTGGTACCTCGACCAGTTTAAAGCTGGCTTATCCTTCCCATTACATCCTTTCTTCGTCGATGTCAGCCGTCTCTATAGGGTTCCTCTTCACCTTTTCCATCCCAACGCCATAAAGTTTATGTCTTGTTTTTATATCGTTTGTGTCGGCACCGGCGTCGACCCCCGCCCCGAGTTGTTCTTTTCTCTTTTTACTCATAACCGGTCATCTTCGGGTTACTTCCATCTTTCCACCCGTGTTGGCCGTCTTTTCGCCGGCCTGGTCACAAAGATTGACTCGTGGCAGCGGCGGTTCTTTTTTGCTCGTCCGCCGTCTCCGTGGCCTTTCGACCCTTCTCCTCCTGCCAAGTCCCCCAAACGCGTTGTTTTGGATGTTAACTTTGACGAGGAGACTGCCCGTCTGCTCGCTCGCGTTCGCCCTCGGGCTTGGAATGTCGAAAAAGTTGTCAGCACCACCCCTCTCTTTTCTCGCGCCGGCCTCTGGCGCATGCCTTCCTTTGACCGCCGACCTTGGGGTATATACAAGCTTACCCCGACCTTTCCCCCCCGTTCCTGTCTCCTTTTTTTTTTTTTTTTTTTTTTTTTTTTTTTTTTTTAGGCATTGTCTTCATATTAATCGTTTTCCATTGTGCCAGGCGAGATGATGCTTGACATGCTGATGGAGATGGCGGAAGCCGAGAAGAAGAACACCGAAGGTCTATCCGGGCCTCCTCCTACGGCGACCGGCCCCGTCGTTCCCGAGACTTCTCCTCGCGGGGTTGAGTTTCCGTCGCACATCTCCAACTCTCCTTCCCGCGCCGCATTCCCCTCGCCTAACCTACAGCTGGCCGCCCCCGATGTTGTTATCTCCCTTTTGGACAGCGAGGCTGAGACGCGCGATCCGGCGACCTCCCTAGGTGGTGGTTTGGGGCTCGAGGAGGCCCAAGGGGAATCGGCGGGGGCCAGCTCAAAACGGCCCCTACCGAGTGACTCTACCCCGCCGCCCAAGAGAGCTCGGATTGATCTGCCCTGCCTCTTCTCTGCGGATGATTCCGAGGGCTCTGTGGATTTTGCCCTCCGCCAGCTATCCAAGGTTCAGGCTGCCGGGGACTCGTCCTATCTGAATGACCTTCCTCACTCGTCTCGCCGCGCGAAGCTAGCTCTCTGCCTGGCTCAGGTATGTGCCCCTTTCCACTTTGTCATTTGTGCCTTGTTCACAGTCTTACAGCCTTCCTCACTTCTCTTTTTTTTTTTTTTTTTTTTTTTTTTTTTTTTTTTTTAGGCTAGCTCTATCGTTGCCTCGGGCTTTGGCGAGGATGACCCCTCCGTTCATGACCAGGCGGTACGTGAGCTGTCCTCGCAGGCTGCTAACGCCCGCACCGCCCTCGAGCGGGCATCCTCGCGGATATACGCTTTGATGGCTGAGAACGGCTCGCTGTCTAGGCAATGCGAGCTTGCCGAGGAGAAACTTCAGGAGGTGCAGTCGAAGCTGTGCGAGACGAGAAGCGCCTTGGAGGGGCAGATTGCCCGGGCGCATGAAGAGAGGGACTTAGCTGTCCGGCAACTGGAGATTAAGGAGCGCGACTTCCAGGAGGAGCTTTCGCGCCGCATCACCGTCGAACGAGAGAAATCCTTGGGTGAGCTTTTGGCTACCACAGAAGGTCTGGCGGTTCTTGATCGATATCGGGTCAAGCTATTCCAGAGATATCCGCATACCAAGCTTTTCTTGAAGGACGCCTGCCCCATTGGGATGTATTACGTGAAGCAGACCATTGCCGCGTGTGAAGCTGTGGCGGCAGAGCAGCAAGCGTCCGTTCGTTACGAGCCCTCGGTTGTCCTTGGGAAAATCAGCAGGACACTCCCTTTGTGGAAAGGTGACCCTCGCGAACCGATTGACTATGCTTGGTGGCAGTCTATCGTGGATGACCTCATCTCCTCGATCGGCTCGACCTCCGCTCCCCAGCCTACGGAACCACAAGTTGCCGGATCGGCCGGTGCGGAGTCTTCAGCGACCGTCGGTCCTTTGCCGGCGCCTACCTTGCCGCCTGTCTCCGAGACCAATCCTGCTCCTGCTTCTTCTGCTCCTCTAGCCACTCCGTCCTCCGTTGGGGCGGCCGTCCATCGCTCCTCATCGTCTTGATCTGAAGTTCTTGCTGTTGTTTCCTTTCCCTTATTTTTGTCTTTCTCTTTTTTTTTATTATATGTTTTTTTTTTTTTTTTTTTTTTTTTTGAACTACCTTGAACATCCAACTACTCTGTTTCTGTTATGTATGCTCTCTTTTTTTTTCTATTTATGTGTTATTGTTTACTCGTGTTCTTTTTATCTGGGTTCGTGCTTGTCCCACGTGTATCGTTGGGTGATTGTTCATTTTCGGCAAAAGTTTCCTAAGTATTTTCTGTGGTTTCTAGTCTCGAATCAGAGCTTGGTTTATGCTCGATGTTCCGAGCGGGGTACTTGAGGAAAATTCTTTCAAGAGATTTTCTCAATACTTACCGCTCTTTTTTTTTTTTTTTTATTCGGCCCGGAGCTCGAGCTCCTCGGGCATTCTATCGGGGGGCTCTGGCTCGGCTTATGCTCGATGTTCCGAGCGGGGTACTTGAGGAAAATTCTTTCAAGAGATTTTCTCAATACTTACCGCTCTCTTTTTATTCGGCCCGGAGCTCGAGCTCCTCGGGCATTCTATCGGGGAGCTCTGGCTCGGCTTATGCTCGATGTTCCGAGCGGGGTACTTGAGGAAAATTCTTTCAAGAGATTTTCTCAATACTTACCGCTCTCTTTTTATTCGGCCCGGAGCTCGAGCTCCTCGGGCATTCTATCGGGGAGCTCTGGCTCGGCTTATGCTCGATGTTCCGAGCGGGGTACTTGAGGAAAATTCTTTCAAGAGATTTTCTCAATACTTACCGCTCTCTTTTTATTCGGCCCGGAGCTCGAGCTCCTCGGGCATTCTATCGGGGAGCTCTGGCTCGGAATATGCTCGATGTTCCGAGCGGGGTACTTGAGGAAAATTCTTTCAAGAGATTTTCTCAATACTTACCGCTCTCTTTTTATTCGGCCCGGAGCTCGAGCTCCTCGGGCATTCTATCGGGGGGCTCTGGCTCGACTTATGTTTGATGCCATTCGAAAAGGTAATTTTCATTCATTTTTCCGAAAAGACTTCATGCATGCTACTTGGGGCATTGGTTTCGCCCCTGTCAAAAAATTATAACAAAAAGTGGAAAATACGTATTCATGCAAAATATTTTTTTAGGTGTCCTATGTTCCATGGCCGGGGGAGTTTACTCCCGTTGGCTGTGGCCAACTCGTATGCTCCTCCCTTCAGTATCTTCTTGATGATGTAAGGTCCTTCCCAGTTAGGCTCCATTTTTCCGGTGGCTTTTAGGGCGTCTGCCTGTTTGAGCACCAGGTCTCCCACCTGGAAGTGCCTTTTCTTTACTTTCCTGTCGTAGGCATTTTTCATCCTTGCCTTGCTTGCTTCCATTCGGATCGCGGCCTGCTCTCTCAGCTCCTCTACGAAGTCCAGGTTGATTCTCAGTTCTTCTTCATTCCCCGCCTCGTTGAAGTTTTTTACTCGCCTTGAGGGTATTCCGATCTCCAGTGGTATCACCGCCTCCGACCCGTGTACTAGCGAGAACGGAGTCTCTCCCGTGGCCTCCTTGGGGGACGTCCGGTGCGCCCATAAGACCGAGTGCAGCTCGTCGACCCAATTGCCCTTTGCTTTGTCCAGCCGCTTCTTGATGCCCTCGATTATAACCCTGTTTGTTACCTCGACCTGCCCATTTGCTTGCGGATGTGCCACCGCCGCGTACCTCTGCCTTATACCCAGGCCCTTACACCACTTGGTCATTCGTGCCGAATTGAACTGCGTGCCGTTGTCTGAGACGAGGTCTCTCGGTAGCCCATACCTACAACATATGTTTTGCCATATAAACTTCATTACTTCTGAGTCCGTGATTCTTGCCAATGCTTCGGCCTCGACCCATTTGGAGAAGTAATCTATGGCGACTATCAGAAACTTCCTTTGCCCCGCCGCGAGTGGTAAGGGACCCACGATATCGATTCCCCACTGGGCGAACGGGCAGGGGGCGTCCACTATTGTCATCTCCTCTCCGGGCGTGTGTATGCGTGGGCCGTATCTCTGACATTTGTCACAACCTCTTACAAATTGTACCGCGTCCCTCCTCATAGTTGGCCAGAAATACCCTGCCCTCAGCAATCGCGTTGCGAGCGCTCGGCCTCCGGCATGATCCGCGCAACAGCCCTCGTGGACCTCCCTGATCGCATTGGCTCCTTCGGCCTCGCTGAGGCATCTCAGGTGGGGCCTGGTAAATCCGCGTTTATATAATATCCCTCTATCTAAACAAAAGTTTCTCGACCTCAGTTCTAACTTGCCCTGCTCCCTCCGACAGGATAACACTTCACCCTTTAAGCATCCTATGATGCTTTGTCGCCAGTCTTTGGCTAACCCCGTTGTTGCTACCTCACAACGCTCCCTTGGCTGTCCCTCGAGGATTGTTATCTTCCTTGAAGTACAGTCAGTGGACATACTTCCTATCTTTGCCAGGAAATCTGCCTTCTCGTTTTCCTCCCTCGGGATCTGTCTGAGCACCATCCTATGGAAACCCTCGGCTAGTCTTTTTGCCCTGATGCAGTATTCCTCCATTCGTTCGTCCTTCGTCTCAAACACACCGTTGAATTGTTGGACGACTAGTTGTGAGTCAGAGAGTATTTCCAAAGAATCGGCTCCTGCATCGGAGGCCAATTGCAGGGCGTGCAGCAGGGCCTCATACTCGGCTTCGTTGTTTGACGCTCGAAAGGCCAATCGAATTGCGTACTCATACTCCTCCCCTTCCGGGTCAATTAACAACACCCCGGCTCCGCTTCCCGACTGGGTGGCGGAACCATCGATAAAGATCCTCCACTCCCCGACTTCTTTCTCCTGTGCCGTCCCTTGCAAAAAGTCTGCCAATATTTGCCCCTTGATGGCGGCCTGCGCCTCGTACCCGATGTCGAATTGTCCTAACTCTACTGCCCATTTAACCATTCGGCCGGACACGTCCATCTTTCCCAACGTTCCTTTTAGGGGAAGGTTGGTTCGCACTATTATTGTGTGTGACAGGAAATATGGTCTCAATTTTCGCGCCGTGACCACGAGAGCTAATCCTGTTCTTTCGATCTCCGAGTAATTTTTTTCAGCTCCTCTGAGCATCCGACTTACGTAGTAGACAGGACGCTGGATTCCGTTTCTTTCGCTCAACAGTACCGCACTCACGGCCTGACAGCCTGCCGCCAAGTAAACGTACAATTTCTCCCCGACCTCCGGCTTCGCGAGCAGGGGTAGTCGAGTGAGGGATTCCTTCAGCTGTTCGAACGCACGATCGGCCTCATCACCCCACTGGAAACGGTGTCCCTTGCGTAGGATTCTAAAGAACGGGTAGCTGGTGTCGGCTGCCCGCGAGATGAAGCGGCTTAACGCTGTGATTCGGCCAGCCAATGTCTGTACTTCTTTTATATTTTTTGGGGGCAGCATCTCCATTATAGCCCGTACCTTCTCCGGGTTAGCCTCCACTCCTTGCTTGGTTACCATGTAGCCTAAAAATTTTCCCGTTTCCACGCCGAACGCGCATTTGGTAGGGTTGAGTTTCATTCCGTACTTCCGTAGTGTCGTAAACGTCTCCCGCAGGTCGTCGAGATGCTCGTTGACCTCCTTGCTTTTGACCAGCATGTCATCCACGTATACCTCCATGTTTCGTCCTAACTGTGTTCGGAACATGGTGTCCACCAATCTCTGGTATGTTGCGCCCGCGTTCTTCAACCCGAACGGCATCACAACATAGCAGTATGTTCCCGTAGAGGTTACAAAGCTTACCTTGGGTTGGTCCTCCTTGTCTAGGCGAATCTGATGGTATCCTTGCGAGGCGTCCATCATGCTTAACATCGCGCACCCCGCGGTTGAGTCCACTAGCTGGTCGATCCTTGGCAGGGGGTAGTGATCTTTAGGGCATGCTTGGTTCAGGTCACGGAAATCTATGCACATCCTCCATCTTCCGTCCGTCTTTTTTACTAGCACAGCGTTTGACAGCCAGGTCGGGAATCGGACCTCTTTGATATGTCCGGCCTCGAGTAACTTTTTTACTTCCTCCTCAATGATCCTATCCTTCTCTGCTCCGAAGTGTCTTCTTTTCTGCTTTACGGGGCAGGCGCCGGGCCTTACGTTTAACTTGTGGACGGCTATGGCGGGGTCTATCCCGACCAAGTCTCTAGGAGACCAGGCGAACACGTCCTGGTGGTCTCGTAGAAACGATATCAACCTCCCAGCCGTTTCGCTATCCATTCTTGTTCCTATTTTGGTGACCCGGGTAGGGTCGCTCTCGCTTAGGTGAACCACTTGTAATTCCTCCATTGGTTGGATGTGCCCTTCTCCTTCTTCGTCCGAGTCCTCGCGGGGCCTCTTTTCCTTCACCTTATCCACACCGTCACCCTCGGGCTTCTCTGAACATCTTCCCCATCCGACGGGATTAATGCGCCGCTGCCCCTTCAGCGCTTGGTTGTAGCACCGTCTTGACGTCTCCTGATCTCCCCGAACTTCGCCTACCCGATCCAGGACCGGGAATTTCATCTTCATGTGGAAAGTGGATACGACGGCTTCGAACGAGTTCATTGAGGGTCGTCCCATTATCATATTATACGTTGACGGCGCGTCTATGATCAGGAACCTGACGGCTCGGGTGGCGCGTAGGGGCTCAGTCCCCAAGGACACGGGTAGTGTTACCTCGCCCATGGGTTGTACTACCTCTCCGGCGAAGCCAATGAGCGCCGTGTCCACCCTTCGGACTTCGAAGTTCAGTCTCATCTGCTTAAAACAGTCGTAGTAGATGATGTCTGCCGAGCTACCACTACTAGAAAAATGGTCTCTAGTGACGCCTTGATAACGCTATAATGTGACGGTTTGTCAAAGTCGTCTCAACAATAGTTTTATTATGACGCCGTAAACTAAACGGGTTCCACGTGTTCCGTCTATATATTTTTAATTCTCAAAAATTACATTATTTGACCCTTTTAAATAAGCCGTCATAATATAATGAATCTTTTGAGACAGCAGTTACGAGGCGTCTTAACATGAGATTAAAAATAAGCACCCAATTACCCATTAAAATAATATATAATAGAATCACTTTACGATCTCCTCTATTTTCATCCGCAGAATCACACAACTTCTAGTTTTCTTCCCTTTCTCTTTCTTTCCCCAATATCTAATTCATAGCCCATTTAAATTACAGGCCAATTTTCGGCAGAGACTCGCAAAAGAATTCGAAGAGCACAACCCATTCCGTATAAAATGCATTCGAGGTAAAACTTTTTCCCCGTTATTAGTTTTTTTTCTAGGGTTTTAATTGTTGTTCCTTGTATTTTTGGGATTAATATGCGGAATATGTATTGGATTTTCGATTTCTTTTCTGATGAAATTAAGAAACTTCATTTTTTTTTGTGGTATTAGTTTATTGAACACATCAATTTGTTCAGATTTATTTGCACACAACTCAATTATATTGATTTTGAGTTATTTTTAGATGGAATTGAAATGAGTTATGTTCTTTTGTTTTTCAACTGTAATGAGTGTAATGTTGAATTAATAATGTTTATATTTCAGTTTATTGAAGACGTGTATAGTCTATTCCTTGAATCAATTTATATATAATTTTGCAGCCCGTATAAAACTTTGTCTAGTTAATTACATCTTATATCTTTCATTTGAGTGAATATATATATATATATATATATATATATATATATATATATATATATATATATATATATATATATATATATATATATATATATATATATATATATATATATATATGTGTGTGTGTGTGTGAATGAAAGTGTTTTTCATCATACTATTCGTAGACAGACAAGTCATGTTGTCAACGAATTATTGTCTTTACTTCTAATAACTCTAATGAAAGTCTTAGAAGGATAAACATTATGGTTAGAATTGTAGAATTGTTTCTCTTATGTTATATTCCCACCGAGTTGTCTAGTGTTTGGGCATTTATGAGATGTTGCTACAGCTATTGAGTCCAAATAAAAATGTTAAAATTGAAACAAAATTGGTTGATCTTTTATTTCGACCGAGTTGAAAGAACAATAAAAACATGTTAATCTTGCATACCTTACAAATAAGAGGTATATAGCAGTTCCCTTTGTTGATAAAGTATTGAAAAATACTTAGTAGTGGTTTCTTGTTTTTTAGTTCCAAAGAGTTTTTTTAATTATAGTAACTGCTATTTTTCAGCTTTTAAAAAGGTCTGTAGGTGTTTCCAACAACTTCAGCGAGGTGGTACCTATTGGATAAATTGCTCCAATGTGCTCTACAATGTGAGATAAAGTTACTTATTTCGGTACATTGGAATAATTTGATCTCCTCTTTCTATTAATTTCGAAGAATTATTACTTGTAGCTTAAGTGGTTGTTATATTCCTTTACTTCAGTTGGCTTATGAGAAGATTGTTACTTTGTCAAATTCTAGATTTATATATGAGATGGTGCTTAGCAAAGGTAAAGAGTTAACTTTGTTTGGTTTTTATTCCATATAATGTGAGTATGTTTCATATATAATTACTGATAATAAGTGTTTTCATTCTTGCATATTTAGATGATAGGGGCTACAAACAAAAGATAACAGATAATACGGATGCATCATTTTACTTGAACAGGAGTTTCGCTCAAGGGTATGTAACTGTTTTTCTTTTGTAAGTGTAGATCCACTAAAATACGTTTGTTTGCTCTATTATTTTGTTAATTGAAATAATTTACATGTATCAGTTATAAATTGAATTGTAGCAGTCAAAATAACCTAAACATGCAGTAAATTGCTGATTGAGAGATGTACTTCCAGAAATTTGCAGAAACTTCATCTGAAGGTTTGTCCACTAAGCATAATTATACTATTGGTACTAAATCATAATTTATCTTGGTTTGATTGATTACTTTCCTTCACTTGGAAATTGTTGTTGAGATTTTCTATATGTTCGAATTTATGAATACCAGGTCTGCAGATGAATGGCATTTTCACGAGTGGAAGGGTACAACTGAGTACAAGAAGCAGTCCAGAACATTTATAATTATTCTATTTTGAGTTACCATGATATCAAAACTTATGCCAATAGATGTAACCTCGTGAGTTGAGTATGGTAAAATACATTTGTTCTTTTTGTTAAAATATACAGACCCCATGTATAATTGGGAATTTTGGTGGTGAACAATAGTTTGACAGATACAAGTACACAAAACTCGTAAGGCTGTTTTTACTATCATGTGATGTTAAGTCGATTGTATATGTAATTTTGTATGACATATATTGATTTTCGGTTAATGTTTTTCAGATATAATGGTTGTGTTTATTTACCATGGAAGAAAACTAAAACAATTGAGCACGGTAATTTTTTACCAAGATTCTTGTGACACTAAAAAAGTGTCATGTAAGAAGACTTTTATGACACTTCAATAATACATTATATGACGCTTTTGAGTGTCATATATTCAAGCAACTAAAGTAGTTGGAAACCATTACGTGGCGCTTACATTCGTCACAAGAAACGAATTTTAAGACGCTTTAGGGCGTTGTAATATCATGGATGTTAGGACGCCGCTTGAGGCGTCATAATAACCTATTACCACGGCCACCTATGTGACGCTTTTGCCAGGCGTCACAATCGATCAACCGTCACAAAAACCCACATTTGGTGACGATTTGCGGCGTCACTAGAAATAGATTTTCTAGTAGTGTACCCGTATCTACCAATATTCTGGCCACGTCATAATTGGCTACCATGGCTGTGATGACCAACGCGTCGTTGTGCGGTTGTTGTATTCCAGTCTCGTCTTGCACTCCGAACGTGATCGGCGGGGCTATCGATACCCGGTACATCATGGCGAGTTCTCCCCTTAGCTCCTGCAACTCTCGTAGGTGCGCCCGTCGGGACCTGTTCGAGTCTCCACCGATGGGGCCCCCGAAGATCGTGTGAATGTAACTATTAGGGGGCCTCACCGTCTCTGTAGTTCCGCTCGCGTTGGTCGGAGGCCGGTTCGAGCTATCTCCCTTCTTGGCCTGCCTTATCCCACTGGGATTACCGCCAACGAACTCCGAAAGATTCTTGCCCCTGATCAGTCTCTCGATTTCATCTCTTAAGTGCTGGCATTCGTCAGTGGAATGACCATGCTCATTATGGAATCTACAATAGGGCCCGGAGTTAGCGGGCTTTCTTGGGACCTCTGCGTAAGTTCGGGGCCACTTGAGCTTAGGGTGGTTGGCAATGGCGATCAGTATTTCCGAGGGGGCCGAGGAGAGAGGCGCATAGTTTTCGAAGCGAGGGCCCACCCGCCTGTCCATGCCCGGCTCCCGTCTAGGGGTGGGCTCCTGCTTCCTTATTTCCTCGCGGGGTCTCTCTCTCCGCCTTTCTGCTGGTGGTGTGCTATCCATGGTCCTGCTCCTTCGGGCCTCCTCTGCGTTTATGTATTTCTCTGCCCTCCTGAGCAGGTCGTTAAAGGAGACGGGGGCCTTCTTGGAGAGGGAGTCGAAGAATTCCCCCATGCGCAGTCCTTGTGCTAACGCGTTGATGAGTACTTCCTCGCTGGTGGCAGGGACCTCCAAAGTCGCCGTATTGAACCTTTGTACGTAGCTCCTTAGGGGCTCGTTCTCCTTCTGTCGTACCGCGAACAAGGTGAGGGTGCTTCTTTTTTGCTTTTTCGAGCTAGCGAAGTGGTTTAGGAACACTTCACTGAATTGCGCGAAACTGTGCACCGAGCAGCGCGGGAGTTGGCTGAACCATCTCTGGGCTGGGCCCGCTAACGTGGTTGCGAATACCCGGCATTTCACGCCGTCCGTTAGTCGATGGAGGGAGGCAGAGGTAATAAACCTTGACAGGTGCTCCCAGGGGTCCGTGATCCCGGTGTATTCGTATGTGACATGCTTGAAAGTAGCGGGCAATTCTCCGTGCTGCAGCCTTTCGGTGAATGGCGTTCCCGCCATCCCCTCATCCTCATCCGGAAGGAAATCCTCGAGCTCGCCGGTCTGCTGCCTGGCCTCCTCGCTACCTGCCGTTTTTCTTTTAGCGGTCGTGTCCTCCGCTCTTCCCTGCGGCGACGGCCCCCTTGCTGCCGCCGCGATTAAAGACTTCAGATTTTCCAAGGTGAGCGTTATGGTGGAACTACCATCTCCGAGGAGCGAACTTTCAGCACCAGGGGTCGGTTCCTCCCTCGGTATGTTCGATGGAGGCTCATTTCCGACGACCTGTAATGGGGGAGGAGTTGCTTCTTCATCTAGTTGCTCCGACAAGTTTCGGATTACCTCCACAGGCGTAGTCATTGGTAGCACCTAGCGACGCTGGACGATAGAGGGCTAACTTGGCTTTACTTGTGACAGTTTCCCACAGACGGCGCCAATTGATCCGTCAGAAAACAGCTGGGCTGGATATTCCCACCTTTCCCGTTACCTGTAAAAGAGACAGCCGGACTGAGGCCGGAGTTAGCACTCCGACGATCAAGTCAGTAACGGTTTAATCACTGTTTTGCGTGAGGATTCGATATGTTTTAGTATATATGCAGGAATAATAAAAACGAATACCCTTTACCGGTGGGCATGTTCTCCTTTTATACATGCCCCTCGGTCCTTTGCTCACTGACCCGGGAATTCAGTGATGACTACTAGCGGCGGCCGTCTTTCTATCCGGGCCGTCCGGATGGCCGGAGCCATGATGACCTCTCCAATAGGTCTGACTGGGATGTCTGGGCATCAACTGCTCGGCCGCACCTGGTCATTTCGTCATTTAATGCAGTTGTCAGGACATTAAATGCGCCGCTCCATCATTTATAGCACCCCCCCCGACCTGTAAGATCCTCCCGAGGGGTCGAGTCATCCATCCGTCGCCCTTTATGCGGATGGGCCAGACAAGTCTTTTGGGCCACTCATAACCCTGGGCTTGATGCTCCGGTGGGCCGCGCGAACTGGGCCCATCTATTTTTAGTGGCCTTTTGTCTTGGGCCTTATTGAGTAATTCCGGTCCGGATCATCCATGTTATTAATTATTTTTTAATTAACTAAAATTAAAAGTGACAATAGGCAAAATTGATACTTTATTGGAGCTCTAAAATGACAAATAATTGTTGACCAAAAAAACCCCAAAAAAAAAAACATAATAATGGACAGAGAGAAAGGGCGATTTAACATCTTAGGTTACGGGGAATGATGGGATGGACGGCCAAGATTAGATTGTTTCAGTTAAACGATTAAAATCGGTTAAACCACTTAAATTGTGGTTAAGTTGGCTATTATGAGCCCATCCCACAAATTTGAGTTGCTTGATTATTGTGTGTTTTGGGGCTTATTCACACAATAGAGAAACAAATATTGGGCCATAAACATTAACATATGTAATAAAATACAACAATTTGATCCCCTATTATTGGGATAACAAAATGAGAAATTCAATCTTGGGTTGGGCCTAGCATGATCAACCAGGGTTGGAACAAATGTTCTACTTCATATATAATTAGGTGTTATTTTTTACTTAAAATAAATAAAAGATTATGGATCTAAATAATTATTCAAAAATAATAAATGACATGGCAATTTTGAGACAACTCGACTCGGTTTAAATTTCTAATCAAACCGGTTTAGTTAGTTGGTTAGTTCTTAACCACTCATTTCGACTCGGCCACGCTCCCACCCAAATAAACACACAGTGAGACACATTGTTCTGCTTCCTTCTTCCATCCTCCATTGTTCTGCACTGTGATTTATAAGAATAATAAAAAAAATAAAAATGAGTAAGCTCCCCTTTTCCCACTCTCTTCATCTTCGTATTTATTCTTTATTCTACTGATTTTGTTGAGTAATTAAATTGTTAATACCATTTTTAATTACGTTAATTTTTGTTACGAGTCAGGATTTGGAAAATTCAACAGATTTGTCGCGCAATTCACTCGCCAAGGTGTTGCAGCCTCTGATTTCAAGGTATTTTATTGCATTTCAATTTTTATTTTATTTCATTGATTATTTGGGGTAAAATGAATTGCAATATTGGGGTGCGGTAATTTATTTCACTAATCCCGACAGTAATTTTATTGAGTGATTTAACCGTGTTTAATTAAAGGCGAACCTTGTATAATTTAATTATTTTTTTGTTGTTGTTTCGTGTTGTGTTTTTGGCAGAGCAATATAATCTGTTAATTTATTTAGCATACTGAAACGAAAAACTGTTCGAATGATAGTAAAGAAGAATGTCTGCACAATAGCTTTAAAAAAAAATCAAGCTTGAATCGTTACCAATTATGGTTATAAGTTAACAGTCATTCCACAGATGAAATGCAGTTTCTTTCTAAAAATTAGTCTAATTCGACATATCTCGGTTTCAGTTTTAGTCGAACAATATTCGGTACTCAATTTTCGAGAAATTCAATTTTAGCCGAACAGTATGCGAACTTTGTTTCTTTTCAAATTTGATTGGTGGAAGCTTGACTTCGTGTAAATTTATTGATTTTTAGCGTAATTTCCAGGCTGCTCCTTTATTGCCGAACCTTCTTCAAAAACACGGACAAGCTGGATCGGAATCTGCGGGCTCAAATTTTTTCAACGCACTAGCACTTTTTAGTGCGGGTGCTTCGGGATTTTTGAGCTGTGCAACAATAGCATATGCTGACGAGGCAGAGCATGGTTTAGACTCTCCTAGCTATCCATGGCCCCACAAAGGCATTCTTAATTCATACGACCATGCTTCGTAAGTAATTAATTGCATCTTTCCCTCTGTTACTGAAAGTTTTGATAGAACTTGTAGTTAAAGGGCCTCTCTGCCATTTAATATCGAGAAAGAATAATATCTCCGTGAAAGCAATTCTTTGCAAGTCACTGTATTCAAATCGAACTGAAGTCACTGACATATTTTTTTACTACAAAAATTTAGTTCGTTTTGATAATGAAAGTAATGGTTGTTTATGTTTTGGGGGAATAAATTAGCTACTATAGCGGTCAAATTATTTCTAAAACAATTGGAAGATTTCGGTTTAGTTTCGGGGAGGTATAACCGAAAAGAGTTTTCAGATGCAAAACAAAACACAATATTTTAATTTTTTTTTTTAATCTCGGCTTCGTATTTGTAGGATAGTTAGTTCAGTTTATGAAAAGATTGAACTTCCTTGAGCAGGATTCGACGAGGTCACCAGGTGTACCAGCAAGTTTGTGCATCGTGCCACTCAATGTCACTTATATCTTATCGAGATCTCGTTGGAGTGGCTTACACAGAGGAAGAAACTAAAGCTATGGCAGCAGAGATTGAAGTGGTTGATGGTCCTAACGACGAAGGTGAGATGTTTAGTAGGCCAGGTAAGCTAAGCGACCGTTTTCCTCAGCCTTATGCGAACGAACAAGCTGCAAGGTTTGCAAATGGTGGGGCCTACCCTCCCGATTTAAGTCTTATCACCAAGGTTAAGTTCTAGAATTTCCAAGATTCGTGCAGAAAGTTTTTTTCTTAAAATAAAAATTAATGACTGCTAAGTATTTCTTAATTTCTTGTTCCTCAGGCCCGTCATAATGGTCAGAATTATGTTTTTGCTCTTCTAACTGGGTATCGTGACCCTCCAGCTGGCGTCACGGTAATTTTTTCTTCTCGAGCTATGTTTGTTCTATAGATTATTATAGATTATAAAATCAAGATTTATGATAAGAGTAGCAATTTTTTTTATTTATTTTAAGATTTCAAATATCGTGTTCGTATTTGCTCTTCTTATTAGTTTCTTATAAAATTAATTTTGTTTTTTCATCGTCTGAGTGTTGTAATAGATTAGAGACGGGCTTCACTATAATCCGTACTTCCCTGGTGGAGCAATTGCCATGCCTAAAATGCTTAACGATGGCGCTATTGAGTATGAAGACGGTACCCCTGCCACTGAAGCACAGGTGAACTTGGTCTTCGATTTTTGTGTCCATTGGTCAAATATTTCTACTGTTGAGATAAGTGACATTTTTATTTTCTCGATTGTATAGATGGGAAAAGATATTGTGTCATTTTTGTCTTGGGCTGCTGAACCAGAAATGGAAGAACGAAAGCTGGTTCTCTCTCTCTCTATAACCTTGTTTTCCCCGTGTAACATTTGCAGATGGGTTTCTCTCTCTAACCTTGTTTTTCCCATGTAATATATGCAGATGGGATTTAAATGGATACTTGTATTGTCTCTTGCGCTTCTCCAAGCGGGATATTACAGACGGCTGAGATGGTCGGTTCTCAAATCGCGTAAGTTGGTTCTTGATGTAGTCAACTAAACTGAACCGAACCGAACCTCTGTATTTTTATTTTCTTTCGCCATGGGTTTGAGAAGAGACGAAAGATTGGTTAATAATATGCACATTAGCATTTCGTATTAGATTATGGAATGTAGGCATGTACATTTTCAGAGCCTGCTCTAGTAGCTTTGGTTGTCTTCCGAGGGGAAATAAAGTTGTACTCACATTGAACTGAATTTATGAATTTCGTTGATTTCGATCTGAAAATTCTCAATGTGGAAATAATTTTCTTTTTCAATCCGATTCCAAATCTAATTTTATATATTTTTTTCCAAGGCAAAGAAGGAAAAAAATGAAAGTAACAAACAAAAAACCCCTCAATTTGGATAAATTTATCAAATAAATCGCTCGAATATAAAAGATAAGATCGCCAACACGCGATTATACCCTACTCGGATAACGAATACGGACTAACCTAACATCATCAACCACGGGACCACACAAAGAACCGGAGTTATCACTCTTCATGTGATAATATTCGCTCGAAAACCTAATCCTAGTACGGGTCGATGTAGCTTTGAATCTCATTCTAGCACTCTTAAACCCACCGTGACCTTTCGATTCGTAAGGCACTTGAAGAATGTCTACACCCGCATATGCCACAACCATCATCGACCCTTCACATTTGTTATTAGAATCACCGACCGAGAATACGAGATCGTAGACTTTCTCGGGCTCTGTTCTGACTACTTGTGCTACTACACTTTCTCGTCCACCCACAAGCTCGACTGCCCGTTTGCCCTCGGGAACCCTAAAATTATCGGAATCTATGTACTTTACGGCTTTGAGGGATTCAATCATCCACCCGGGTAACGGGGAGTGGTCGTCTTCGATGTTTGGAGGAATTAGGACACCCCATTTCGTGTTCGGGAAGATGTATGGACCCGCCTCGAAGTTCCCATTCTTCAACATATTACCTATAATAATAATTTGATCACAAAACAATTTCTTTTTAGATACATGTATTGCAATAACAAGTAGAATGCATTAAAAAAATTCTGGGAGGCTCTTAATGCTATTATACACCGATTTTTTTTTATATCTCTATATAAAATAATAGGAATTGGTAGCCCCCGTTGGTCATATACTGGCTCAGCCACTGATTTGACCTTTGATTGAAGATCCATGCACCATCACATGCAAAAATAAAATAAAATAAAAATTTAACTAACCTCTTGGTCTTCTTGGTGTGTGCAAGGCCTTGAGTGCAACCGAGTCAATAAGCGGGCCGCAAGCCGGGTCTTTCTCGACACCCGGGTTGTGGATCGCGATCTCAATCTCGTCCGACTGCGCCAAAAATCCCCAACAATACGAATCCCATCCATCGCTGCTATACACCGTTTGGATTGGCAACATTCCCCAATCTTTCGGCTCCGAATTCGGGGAAGCCGAGATATTCAGTTTCTCCTCCTGCGCGCAAGTTCTCGACGCGCTAAAAGACACCGAGTAGAACTTCCCGTTCGTGACCTTGACCTTGGTCTTCACGGCGGCGCCGTCGCCGAGGCGGACGGCGGAGTTGCCCTCCGGCACCACCAGCTGCATATCGCCTTGCTTTTGCGTGGATTTTATGTACTCCACGAAACCGGTTGTTTCCCAAAAGGGTATGCTGCGGGAGTTAATTACCCTTGTGCCCTTCATTTCTGATCTCTTTGGGCCATTTTCGAAGTTACCATTTGGCAATAGTCCTGCAAATTTTATTTATTTTTTAATATTTTTTTTTTCGAATTTATAAAATAAAAGTTTAAGTTACATAATTAATTTGATTATTGTTATTTAAGTTTTTATATATGTTTTAATTAATGGTATAATTAAAGCTTCTTAATATAATTTGGATCTGTAGCCACCCTGCCATAACATGTTATTTATTTATAATGAAATTAAAATTATTGAAACAAAAATACAATCTATAATCAGACAGTTATGAAGCAACCGAAAAAAAAAAATAGCAGCTTCAAATTAAAACAGAATCTTCAGTTCAAAGTGATGCATTTTACGTTATAAAAAAAAGCGAAAAAAGAGTCGGAAAAAAAACCCGGAAAAGCTTACCGTCGGTCCAAGACGATGCAATATGGAAAATGGCAGATGAGAGTAACAATAATATTATCTTCATCACTCCTTTTTCTTTATATTTGATTGATTAGATTTTGTGTTTTTTCCCAAGTTGGGAGTGATACTTATGCCTTTCTCTACAATGGCAATGCCCTCATATATATAGGAAATGACAACTCAAAGCTTGAGGGGCATTTTCGTCATTCACCAACTGGATCTATTAATACTGTCTTAATTGTTTTAGCTCATTTGTATTGTGGCTATCCATCCACCTGGCAGATGTTACACCTGGTTATTCACACTGAGTGAATTTCAATCGTAAATCTAATTATGTGTGTTTGATTATATGCAGATTTACGGTCGAAATTCACCCGGTGCAAATAACCAGGTACAGTTACCACTAGAGTATTAGTTAAAATAAATATGTCCTTGATACTTATTTTTATTTTACTAATTCTACCTACAGAGTTTAGGTATTAACTTGACATCTCAAATCTAATATTTTGTGTAAATTAAAGAAAAAATCAACTGATTTTTTTTTATTTTTTATCTATTAATCGATCTTCATTTTCTTTTAATTTTTATATTTTTGACCTAAAAATATAGTTAGAATAACATATTGATTTTCAAGTCCCTAGGAATAGGATCAAAAAATAACAGGATGCATGCACGTGCAAAGACTGGACAACGAAGAATAACACCTATCTTCGATTCAACAGCCATGATCCTAGGAAGTTTAATTATTATTATTTTTAATTATGGGTTTAAATCAATTGTTTTAATGTAATTATTGATCTATAATTGTGGACACGTGTCTTAATTCAGCAACAATTAATTAATTAATTAATAAGGACCACCAAATTGCATAATGATCAGGATTTGCTGTTTAGATTAGGTATTTATTTTTCTCGGACAGGCTCAGAGTCAGGGCATACCCATCCCCACACATGGCAATGCCGGACAACATGTTTCCCAGTCTCGTCTGCAAAAGGGTATTTTAGTCATTTTACATTTTGTTACTAAACTCTTTTTCTTTTTCTTCTTTTCTTCTCTTTTTCCGCAATGGACTTCGGTCATTTATTGGAACGAAAAATTTGATGAAATGATAACGATAATGATAATGATGGTCTCCCGATGTTTCTTCTGCCAATACACATGTATGTGGGCATATATTAAAATCAAAGTTTATTGCATTCAATTGTGTTATATCAAATTGCATTAAAAAAAAAAATCATTTATTAAAAGAAAAATTAGTTATAAGAAAGTTCTTACTAATAAAAATAGTATGGGATTTTTTTTTAAAGAATTAAAATAACCACAGAGTATTACTAAATACAACAAACCCCGTAAATACTTGCACCAATTATTATTTTTTAGTATTTAAAGATTGGAAATAATATCTGGGAATGTGTCAGCTGAGCTGAATTACAGCAAAACTTTCAAAATCATATAATTTAAATATGATTAAGAAAACAAAAGAAAGACCATTAAGATCTGTGACAAACTGTGCACCCCATGTGGAACTGAATAAATTGATTGGAGAATTTAATAATATTTACATAAAATTTATCCTAAAGTCATTATTGATTTCTTTGCTTTCAGCCTATGGTTTGTTTCCTTTTTGGTCGGCAATGATTCTCTGTTCAATCTTTATAACATGTGCCACTAGGATTTATTTGATACTACACCCGATAAAATAAACAGGATAAGTGTTAACCATTAATCTGCATATCACACACACTCTTGTGTTTGTATGTTGAGTGAATTGTTATTTAATCCCATCAATGGCTAAATTTCACCCGGTGTAGCATCACAATGACCTACGATAAGTGACTGCTTAAGATAACTAAGGGCAAATCACGACTATCCGCTCAAGTAAGATCAAATTACGAAAAAAGAAAATCTAATGTTTAGGTAATTACAATCACCCCATCAACTATGTATTTTCTTGCACACCCATCCTTACGGTTTTCGTAAGAATAAAATGCAATCAGTCATTTTCTGCTCTTATTTTGACACAAGATTTATATACTTCATCACTTGTCTCAGTTTATCCTTGCTCTCTCGAAAATCTTTAAAGAAAATCGAGTACAATTAATTTTCAGACGCGTACTTTCGGTTTTCATGTATCCATACACTTTATTTGTGTTTATACACGAGCCCGTAACACTGATTTTGTGCCCCGAGTGGCGGAACGAAAACTTAGGACGAGAATGGACTAGAAAGTTTATAGCAACGGAAAATATAGTACCGATTTTCACCAAAAAATAAAAAATAAAAATACAGGGCAATAAAAATCTGAAAACAGATATCGGGAAATAGAAATAACGAAAATGAAAATGACGATGTTTGTTTACCTGGTACAACAAAGTTCAATGTTTAAAAGTTTGTTTCTTGTCTAGATAGTTGTGGATGTAATAGAAACGAAAAAAGAGAATCTACTTCCAAAGCTTCCTCAAAGACATGTTCTTCTCAGTTTCCTTCTTCATTACTTTAGCAACAGCCATCTCAAAGTCCTCCTGAGTAACATGAACTCTCCTCTCTCTCAGTGCAAACATTCCAGCTTCCGTGCAAACCGCCTGCCCCCCAAATACAACCCCGTCAAAAATTAATAATTAATAATATCTTTTCAGTACAAAAATCGAGATCCCAAATTCAATACTTTCATACCAATGTGATTTTTTTTATAACTAGGTCATACCTTAAGTTCTGCACCAGATGCGCCATTCATCTTCTCGGCAATCTTCTTCAGATCAATCCCTCGCATCAAATTCATTTTCCTCGAGTGTATTTTCAAGATGTCAGCCCGAGACTGAATTTTAAAAAGAATATCAATTACTATTTGAAAATCAAATAAACGTAAAACAATACCAAAATATCTAGCAAAATAAACTGAAAGATGAAAAAAAAATCTCAGGTAATAAAAGCAAGATTTGTGATTTTCTTTTTGTAGCAATGATAGTAACATATAATTTAGATCCAACTACCAAGTCAAATGTAGGGAAGGAATAATAAACAAGATATATCGCTTAAAAACGAGCAACTCACATCTTCATTGGGATTTGGGAACTCGATCTTTCTATCAATTCTTCCAGGCCTAAGAAGAGCTTGGTCCAGAATGTCAATTCTATTAGTGGCCATCAGCACCTGTAGACCAGTAGAACATATTATGAATATCAACATTTTAGTTTTCCAATTTACGTATATAAAATAATAGGAACGAAAATATACTTTTATCTTATTAGATGCTTCAAAGCCATCGAGCTGATTGAGAAGCTCAAGCATAGTTCGCTGAACTTCACTATCCCCATTTCCACTTCCGGATTCCATACGAGCTGATCCAATACTATCAATTTCGTCCATGAAGATGATGGATGGAGCGTGCTCTCTGTCAAAATATATAACATCGATATATATAAGAACCCCATAAAATGAATTTTCAATAAATTTTACCTAAACGCTCGATGTTAGAAGAAACTAACCTGGCCATCACAAAAAGTTCTCTGACCATTCTAGAACCTTCTCCAATGTACTTCTGAACCAATTCAGATCCCGAAACTCGAATGAAAGTGCAGTCGGTATGGTGAGCCACTGCCCTTGCAAGCAAAGTCTTACCCGTGCCAGGTGGGCCATATAGCAAAACTCCCTTCAGCAATTCAAGGATATATAAAATTAGAAACAGGTTCCAAATTTAAAGGAATAATTGTTACTGAACTGCAAAAACATTACCTTAGGTTGAGCTATTCCAAGACTCTCAAACAGTTCAGGATGCTTGATCGGAAGTTCAATCACCTATAAGGACAGCAGGGACATGAAAAATAAGAGCTTTTTTTTTTTGGACAGAATAGTACATTAATTACTGAATAATGGCATAATCAGAATTCGGAAATCTGTAGTTTAACAGTTCTGTATTGAAAAGGCAAATATTTATAACAATTTTCCTACACGCACCCACACATAGCCGAGTGCATGACCTCCCAAGGAAAATAGGAGATCATACCACCAGAACACATGCTTTATTTTAAGAAAATAATTTGCGGATATGGATAGAAGCCAACATATAGAAATCAAACAAATTCAATGTTATTTTATACTCCTAGTATCCAGTAACCACTCATACACTATCATCACAAATCGTCGGCCTTCAATTCTGACCTAACGAATATCATTTCTTTAAAGAAATATTTTGATAACTGTCAACTTATACGAGATGAACCAGGCCTAATTACATAAGCCAATTTAACTAATCAAGGAGGCTAATAGATAAAAAATATGGTAATCTGACGAGAGATAGAGTGAGAGAGAGAGAGCTCAGTTATGCAACAAAGAAAATAAACGGATATTATGAATAACTTCTCTTTGAGATAAAAATAAGAAGAAAAAAGAAAAAAGAAAACAAATAATTGCAACATCTCAATTGGGACTTAAGAAATGTGTAGAAGACAAAAGAATAGTTAGATATGGTGAATCGGGCAATAACTGTATATCACAAATTAATTAAAAGCTACAAACAACAACAAAGTTCAGGATACGCACCTCTTTTATCTCTTTGATTTGCTGGTCAAGACCACCAATCATGTCATAAGTGGAGTCTGGAACTTTTTCAACTTTCATAAGGTTCACCAGCGGATCGACTTTACTGGGTAGGACCAGGTGGAGCACATAGCTATCATTACGTAAAGCGACCCTTGTCGAAGGTGTAATCTTAGTGATGTCAATGCTTTTGTCAATGTCAACTACATACTTCCCCTCAGGATGAACCTAAGCAACAGAAAAAAATATAAAATGTCTATTTAGCTTAAAAGATAAGAGCAGGGAAAAAGAAGCATTATTTCTGTTTAAATCTATATAGGTTTTTTTTTACTTTTGTAGAAATCAGCTGAGACTGGACATTTTAAAAGCTGACAGACAAACTAATTTGAACAACTAAATCAAAGATTGCTCTTTGCATTATCTTCTCCCTAAGAAACAAAAAAAGTTGATCAAAATTACTATTTTTTGGAAATAACATTTACTCCTCCTGGGGTACCTTTAATCACTTCTCAGTTCTCACAGACTCATCAATGATTTAGTTTAAACTTGAAAATGGTTGTTTCTGTCACATCTAGTTGTATTATTTGTTTACCGACATTCTAAACTTCCCTTCCTTGAGAAAATAAAATTCTAACCACTTCTTGATACATGCAGATACATGAAAACAATATTCATATATTATCTTGTCCAAATTTTATATTGGATATTCTAGCAACGTGGAATGACTTTGTCAATCTTTTTCATATGATAACTAAAAGGAAGATAAAGCCAAAAGGATAATGACATTAACAAAATGCCATTAACGGCTGATATATCAACTAACCTTGACAAGGACCTTCGATTTTCCCATAACTTTGACAACTTCACCAACATAAGATCCAGGCTCCTGAAGAAGCTGCAACTCTTCCTTCAGCGATCTTACTGCCATTTAAGAAATAAAAACTTTCATCAGAAGATACTCGGCAATATAACAAGAGCAACACAAACGTCTTATGCTTACAACACCCATCTTTTACCTATGAAATATCTTCATCTTTACAAGATAACTAGTACTACACCCGTGCGATGCACGGGGTATTCATCGTAAAACAATTATTTAATAGTAAAAAGGTTCTCAAAATAATAAGATCAATTGATATGTAATACAAAGAAGTAGAAAATATTAAAAAAGAAAACTAATTTGTATGGTGTAAAAGATGAAATAAGCCGAAATAAGTGAAAAAACTAAACATTGAAGGTTTTAATTTCAGCATAAAAAGAACAGATATATCGTTGGTCCCAAACTTGTACAACCATAATGACTTATCTCTGTTCAAAACTTGAATTTGATCCATATTAATCCAGCATTCTTATCAAACCATACATAAGGACATGAGGATTAGATGGCAGCTACTTAATAATTAGCATGTATTGTATAGAAAGCAGAGAAAATGTCACAAATCTAGTCATGGTAACATTACACATGCAATGAAAAACTATGCCAATAGAACAGTCCTTAAATCCAATCGGAATGATTTCGTGTCCAAACACACAACACTAACGCAGACCCCGAAAAACCCTAAAATCTCATTATCAAATAGAAAGAGGACCTCATATCTCCTTCCACTCCACCAACAAAAAAGGAAACTTTTTACAACAAAAATCAAATTGCTTTAATTCTTCATCCAGGGAACTCACCAATACACAGTTCAAACAAAAGCACCTACTCGGAAAAAAAAACAAATTGACGCCCAGGAACAAAATTGGGGGAGGGGTTAAATTATCCTCGCATATAATTTCATTTATTGACCGCACCAAAGAGGAAAATAAACGCTGAAGTGTTTTCCCATCCCTAGGGTTTTACGAAGCGGCAACAAATTGAAGTACATCGAATTGACTCCATACCTCGGGAATTGAGGTCATTGCGCTGAGCTTCGAGGCGCTGGAGATCGTGATCTTTCTGGCGGACTAACAGCTGCATATCCTGTATGCGCTGCTGATAGTACTGCCGGAGCCCTTCGCCGCCGCCGGTCCCGGCGCCTTGCTGGTGCTGCTGCTTCAATTCATCTGCCCGCCGAGTCTCTATAGCCGCCGTCGCCATTCGATTTGATACGCCGCCGTATAGTCTGTAAGCAGATCGGAGAATTTGTGGGATTTCGTCTTGGCCAAGTTTAGAGTTTGTAGTTTGGGTTTGCACTCCTTGTTTCCTTTGTTGCTCGAAAATATATACAAATTGATTAAACTAGTTTTTTCACGATCCACTGTGAAAAGACCAATTTGCCCCCAAAGTTTCATAAGTAATCTCTCTTCGCCCCCAAATAGATGTTAAAGTTAGTAGGGGTGGCAATCGGGGCAATATGAGACGAGCCTAGCTAGGCTGAAACTCAAATACCATCAAGCGACTCGGGCCTTATGATTAGAAGCTCAAATCATAAACTATCAGTTTTTCAGTTGTAGACTCAAACTCGACTCATATAATATTTGAATTTCAAATTTAACCGCTCTCTATATTTTTTAAAATTTCATGCATATAGTCCATATAGTAAAAATATTAGTACAATTGCATAAAAAACAAAACTTTTATAATCTTTGCAAATAAGAGAGATATTTTAAATAATTCAAGTCAATGCAGGACGAATAATAAGCTCAAACTCGACTGATAAACTTTTCGGATTTAATAAAATGGCTCAAACTCAATCCAACTTATAGCTAGTTAAGCTATGGTCGATTAAAATCGGACTGAACAATCGAGTTTCTGGTAGGCCCGCCCAATTGCATGTCCTAAAAATTAGTATAGAAGTTTTGAATTTTGTAGATCTTTCCCATTTGGCAACATATTAGATTATTATCCATTGCGAATTTTAAAATTTCCAATTTACATTTTTTTTCAAAAAAGAAAAAAAACAATTTGTTAAAATGAAATTGAAACACATATTAGATTATGACTTTTGATCCAATTTTAATTTCTGAAATTTCCATTTTTTTTCAAAAATTTGTAACTAAATCACAATTATGATTAATTTTGTAGATACTTGCTAAGAAGAAAGGGCAATTTCATCTCAGCCTCTTTTAATTAGTGCATAGTAATAATTATTAAATTATACTAGTACTATGTTTTTTTCGAAAATCACATTTAATAATAAATTTAAACTTTTTTAACACTAAATTTGATATAAGATAATCGACATCATAATGATTAATTAATTAATTAATTAGCCGATATAGAATTAAATCAATTTAATCTAGTTCCAACGCAAATTAATTTGAAAATTACTCTTGAAGATCGTAAATAGTAAAGATTCCCCACATTTTTACAGTTTATAGATTTTCATTTCTTAGATTTTTTCCCCCTCTTAGATGAATCTGTGGTTGGTAGGTGTTGATCCCCGCAGAATTTCAACCGATCAATAATCCACAGATTAGGGTTTCCCACATTTGTTAATTGCATATACACAACACTTGATTCTAGTTTTGATCCGTATGCATTTTGATCTGTAGAAATTTTAACGTCTTTGGTTGGCGATTCTAATTCACATAGCTGCTAAAACGAGAAAAAAAAATTAGGTTTTGTTATTAAAAAAATAATTATCACTTCTGTTATCGGGCAATTGGGCGTATTTTTCTAGTGTCAATTGTCAAATCTTAAGCTTTTGATTTTGGGTGTTGAATTCTGGAAATTGGGGATTGGGGAATTGAGTTCTGTTTTTTTTTTTTTTTGTGGTAATTTTGATAGTATTTTATTTCTTGTTCATTTTTCTAGTGGGAAAAAAAGTACTTTTTTTTAGGGTTGTATTTAGGCAGGAATGGATAAAAAGAAGGTTATAGCTCCGTTGGTTTGCCATGGGCATTCGCGTCCGGTTGTTGACTTGTTCTACAGCCCGATAACTCCCGACGGTTTCTTCCTCGTTAGTGCTAGCAAGGGTAATTTTTTTTTTAGCTGCAGTGTAATTGTTAGCATATTCGTTTCTTTTCTCAATTGAACTGATGAATATTTCATACTTGAATGTTATGTTTTTTTTTATCTGGATTCCGATATTATTATTGTCTTTTTTTGTTTGTGGTATTCGGTAAATTAAAGCATTCCGAAGGGTTGATTCAAGTGCCTTTCACTTAGGTCGGTTTAGAAATGTAACTAGTGACACCTTTGCATTATTATTTTTTTGCCGAAATATGGAAAGATTTAATGTGCCTCTTGTAGACGATATTATGTCAACATCAATTACTTCCACGTACGAACTAGTGTATAATCTTGACCCTGATATGGAGTTCCTGTTTTTTAAGATAAATACAAGGATGCAGTAAAAGGCACACACATTACAACAATTCTCGACACGTATTTATGAATAGAAAATTATAAATCACTCGATCATTTGATGGAGTATTTTGTGGCCGTTCGGCTCGTTTCTTTTTTCAGATTCGACGCCAATGTTGAGGAATGGAGAGACTGGCGATTGGGTCGGAACCTTTCAAGGTCATAAAGGTGCAGTGTGGAGTTGTTGCCTCGATAAACACGCTCTTCGTGCTGCCTCTGCTTCAGCAGATTTTTCTGTGTATGTGTTCAGTGGTTTCGGTATTTCTTATAATTAGAGAATTATAACTACATTTTATTTTTTTTGTATGCATTGAAGTATTTATGAATATTAATCGGGCAACTATATCGGCAGATCATCTTTTATACTATATTGTTTGGTTGCAGGAAGTTATGGGATGCATTAAGTGGGGACGTATTGCACTCGTTTGAGCACAAGCACATCGTTCGTGCTTGTGCTTTCTCAGAGGTACTATTTTATCACTTATAAACTTAGCGATAAATGTATATGAAGAATAAATACTAATTTGACATATTAAATTAGCAAAATGGTCAAACTGCCCTTGTTGCTTTACGTTTTCATTTTCCTTGTTCGAAATCCTTAATCCAATCACAGCCGAAAAGTCGTAACCTTTTTAACTATGATTGAAGTTTTCTTACTAAATTGCAGGATACTGACAGGCTGCTAACTGGAGGGATGGAAAAAGTTGTTCGCATATTTGATCTGAATCGTCCAGATGTAGGTCCCACGGAAATCGAAAAATCTCCGGGTTCAGTCAGGACTCTTACTTGGCTTCATACCGATCAGACGATTTTAGGTTCCTGTACTGATATGAGCGGTGTGAGGTATGTGGGCAAAATGGGAATTTCTAGTTGTTTGCTTCCATTTCTAGCAATGTCTGTCATTTGTGTTGCATATTTCGTAAATTCTTGAACACCTTTTTTTAACAATCGAAAATTTATAAATACTGATATATTAAGTGATGGCTCCAGATTATGGGATGTGAGAACGGGCAAAATTGTTCGAACGCTTGAAACAAAGTCTTCTGTAACCAGTGCTGAAGTGAGTCAAGATGGCCGCTATATTACAACTGCCGATGGGTCAACTGTTAAGTTTTGGGATGCAAATCAGTATGCCTCTCTCTCTCTCTCTCGCTCTTTCCATCCTTTTTTTTTTTTGCATAATGAATTGTGAACTCTTTTATTTCAAACAGCTTTGGATTGGTGAAGAGTTATGAAATGCCGTGCATTGTCGAATCAGCTTCGTTGGAGCCAAAATTTGGTAATAAGTTCATTGCGGGTGGAGAAGACATGTGGATTCGTGTATTCGATTTCGACACTGGAGCAGAAGTTGGTAAGTCACATGTGTTATTTTTTATTAAAGAAAGATATAATCTTTTTATCTTTGCAGGGTATTATTATTGAATGGTTCCTTATGCTCTTATAATCTTCATTAATTGTGTTGCCTACATTGTACACGTACGTAAATATCGGTGTTTTTGACTTGTATTGATTTATGAATAGGGTGCAATAAGGGGCACCATGGTCCGGTTCACTGTGTGCGCTTCTCACCGGGGGGAGAGTCGTACGCGTCTGGATCTGAAGATGGGACTATTAGAATATGGCGGACCGGTTCTTTGGGGCCTTCCCAGAATGTGATGGATGTTGTCAAAGAGGTTAAGCACTACGTCGCCGAAACTGTAAGATAAGACTGCTCTCGTTTGCGAATAACCGAATCTTGAGAGATTTTTATCCTTTTATTAAATAAAATAAGGGTTGTTTACATACATACAGTCATGACTCTACTATGAGATAGTGTAATTACAAAGTGTTCGTTCTCCTTCCCTTTTTCTTAGTTACCATTAGACAGTGTTCACGGTTTCTGGTCAATCGGAACCAGATCCGACCCGTGGTCAACGGGACGGTTAATCAGTCAATATGTTGACGACGACCGTTTAGGTTAATCGGCGTGAACAATTAGTTTTCATTAGTATGTTTACTAGTTTAAATATACTAATATATATAATGTTTTTTTTTTAAATTAAAAAAAAATCCTTAAGAAGAATATAATTGGTATATATCTATATGTTAGAGAATAATTTATTTATATTTTTTAAATTTAGATGTATGGTAATGCTAATATCTAAAAATATAATATCTATAAAATTATCATGATTGTAATATAGATTTTTTGGTATGATTGTGCAATGTTACTACAATAATCTTTGCTACCGATTGAAAAAAGCAACCTTGTTGCTTTACTATATCTCATTACATTGGATCATAATGCCCTGTTCCAAACAAACTTGGACAAATAATTCAGAAAATCGACAAACATCTCGTAAATGAATAATGCAAAACGAAGAATAATAAATAAAAAAGAAAATGAAATTCGAAACTAACACATCGAAAGCACACACCACAAGGAGAGCAGAACTTGGGCTCAACCTCTTGAGAGAAGAATTTACAAGGAAGAAGGGGTGGGGGTGCTACTAGAATAATAATACCTCTCTATCTATATAAAATACGATAGTCCCTATTGCGTCTGCGATTATGGTCTTAATACAAGCCTACTAATGAACGGCGTTATTGCCGCTAGCAATGCCTTCGGACATTCCTCGTGTGGAAGATGGCCACAACCAGATATTGCAACCATTCTCTGCAAATTTACGAGATAACAACAATAATTAGACGGTAAAACAAAAAAATTATGATTCTTTTGAAAAAAGAAAAAAGAAAAAGGGAACTCACAGAATTCGCGAGTTTAGAAGCCAAAGTTTGAACAGATTTGAGAGGGACAAGGACATCTTCAGCCCCTGCAATAACTAAAACCGGTAATGTTTCAACGGCTGTCAGCATCAAGGCTGCGCTCTGTGGGGTTAAGACTGTTTCATGGGATAGTTTTCCGATTTCATCGAGCGCCTCATCCCATCCTTCTACATGTAACGGGGCCTGACATTAAAAAAAAAGAAGTTTTTTTTTTTTTTAAATTGTTGAAAATGAAGGAAACTTTTTAAAATAAATTGGAAAAAACTATTTGTGAAATAAAAAGTCAAAAACAATATTAAATCCAGAAGAAAAGTTATGATTGTCATGTCTTGATATAATGTCAAGAAGAGTAATTTAAAATCTACAAGTATTTAATATCTGGTATATTAAATACAGATAATAATACCTTATATAGGCTTAGGACTTCAGTGGTTAGTTTGGTTGCATTGTACCAGGCTCGCCGATTCACCACTTGGGTGATTTCTGTCCGAAGAAGAGGACGCACCAAGTGCTTTTTCCCAATAGAAGTGCGTAACAGTATTCGTGCAAATGCAGGTACCAATTCTCTCGATAAACTTACATTCAGTAATACGACACCCTTAATTTCAAGCTGAGAAACATTATCATGGAATTAATCCTCAAGTTAGCGACAAAGTTTCATATTATTTTAAATTCAAAAAAACACGTATCTTTTCCAGAAAAATATCATAAATGATCACAAATACAGTGCCACTATATTTCAAAATCAAGACCCCTAGTTTGTATGTTAACGCATCAAGATTTGTAGTTATTTTAATCATCATAGATCAGCTTTTAGATTTTTTGTTAATGATCTCTTCAAGCATATATCATACTACTTTTTGTCTCGAGCACTGATAACACACCCTATAATGACTTTTTCCCTGTAGTTCTTAATTGCCTTGAAAAAAATTATCACTTTCAAATTCTAAAGAAGTCTGATATAAACTATAAACTGATATCGGACTCACATTCATGGAATTTGGTGATGACTGAAGTTTCTGAACAGCCTTCAGGGCAAGCAGTCCTCCATCATCGTGGCCAACAAGCACAACTGAAGATAATTTCATCTCCAAGCAAAACGAAAGAAGCAGGTCTACCTGAGAATTTAAAATCCAAATTAAATTATGAAGCTAATATAGACGCAATGCAAAAAGTGTAAAATTCAATATCAAATATCATCATTGATAGCTGTCTGCATTGACAGAATTGATCGAACTAAATTAAGGAAAAAATTATTCATGTCAAACACAACAAAAGTTACAAGGGAATATTTTGATCCGAACGGTTAATATGGTATTACTATATTATCTGAATTATAGAGGGCAACTACCCTAATCCATTCGCAATCCCTTCATGGTATGCTCAAATTAGTTGTTGCGTGACAGAGAAGAAAGAGACCAACAAAACCTTAAAAAAAGAAAGCTAGATCCTTTACTGGTCTATGACTGGCAAAACACATTAAACTTCCAATAAAAATATGAATAGTATCCGACTAAAACAGAAAGAAATGTATACTATAACCAATTTTATGATTCTCCATATGCTACACTGGGCAGATTTAAATTTTAAAAGATAGAAAACATATGCCGAAGTAAGATAACAACAACTGGATTACCTCAATTCAGCCAGACCATTTTTTAATTATCACACACATCATCATGTGCTCTTGAATGTAGACTAAAGAGCACATGCTTTACATATTATATACATACATACATACATTATATATATATATATATATATATATATATATATATATATATATATATATATATAAATGATGAATGTACAGCATGTATGTTCATATAAGAGCAGTCACCTGATTGTCAAGCTCGTAAGGATTAGGTAACTGATTCTCCTCCCAATCCTTCCGCCGCGGCCTCGATGTCAAACCCCATCCAGGCCGGTCAAAAGCAGCAACTGCACAGCCCATTTGCCTGGCCAAAACGCCCATCACCTTTCTCCACGAGAAGACTCCTCCCCCAAAGCCATGGACCAAAACTATTCCAAATTGTTCATTTGCATCCACATTTTGCTCCATCATTGAAGACCCCATTTTGCCAAGTTCATCCTCCTCAAAAGTTTCATTCAAGCTAAAAATAGGCATATCTTCAGATATTGGGGATGTCGGAGAACTCGCAAGGAGTGGGGTATCGAGTGGAGAAGAGCTGCTGTAGAATTGGTTACTTGTGCTCCTGTGAATAGTATATTGACTTTTCAATGGAATGTTTAATGATGGTCGGTCAAATAGGATAGTGGAGGACAATGAACGGGATGGTGATCCTGGCATGCTTAGCTTGTAATGAACTGTAAGCCCTTGACAGGAAAAGAATAGGCTGTCTATATCAGCAAGTAAACTAATTGGAAGGTCCCCTTCATCATGTGCCAATCCGGGTGCTTTTCTCCTCGTTTGACTGTCACTTCGGAAAGATTTTCCTGCACATGGAGTGGGTGATCTCGGAACCTTCTGGTAACCAGAGAAAACCATTTTGCAAGAAAGAACCTGAAAACAATTAGGTCCGATGATTAGCTGAAACCTCAAGCAAGTATGATTAAACAACTAATAGAGGTTACTTATGGATACTGTCATATAAACCTACTTTAGACTATAGTCTATGTGTTCAAATTTTACAAGAATATGAGATGGAACATCCACTGGCTAACATCCATATTGGCCTGACTAATTATTCAAAGCTGATTATGTGAGAGATGCCATGAACTTACGGCTTCTGGGTCAACACGGTGAAAGTTGAGTTTCCTTCTAGCTTTGCAACTTGTTCGATAAGCCACAATAATGTGCCCAAGAGCAAAGACAACAGAAGAGAGAAACAAGACAGGGATTCCCAAGGACTTCTTCAGATGGAGCCTCTTCCGTGAGAGAGAAACAGAAGTTTCAGCCTCGAGTTGAGAACTTGGAGTGAAGACACAAGCCTTGATGGAAAGAAGAAGAATTGAAACAAAGGAGGATATTGTTACAGTTGCTAGATACGGCCCGTGCGACAGTGCTGGTCCGTCACACATCGTATATACACCTGTTCGCATTTGACAAATCCACAAATAACAGATTAACTTCAAAAACCAAGAAAGTATTACTGTTAATTTTGTCAAGTAGTAATTATAATCATGCCAAAAACTCAATAACTGAAAGATATTTCAGGGTATGTTATTTGAAATAGAAAGAACATTTTGTGGTTATATATTAGTTTATCTTGAAACAAAGTAATTTTCTCCAAAAACAAGTGAGTTTTATTTCATCTACAAAATATAACTGATTTAAATTCTTCGCAACGAAAAATCATCTAATCAAGCAATCAAAATCCGTTATTAATTTAAGAAAGCACATGCGCACATACCAAGTAACAACACAAGAGCATTCAAATGTAGAACTGCTGTTCAACTACAATATCAAACAAAATAAAAAGGAATAATTAAAAAAAAAAAAAAAAAAGCAAACGAAAACGAAAACAAAAACTCAAACAGGCCAACACAGAAAATGTTTGCCCCTTCCTACATTCATAGCATAATACAAATTGTTCATTGATAGAAAAAACAGAAAAGTAATTGTTCATCAGAATATGAATGAATATTGACAGAGTAGAAATCATACAGATGATGATGAGAGATCTGACAATGGAAACGAGAGGAATATCCATAAGCGAGCTCCTGAAGGCGTATCTCTCCAAATGCTCCCTAAAACTGTAGCATTTGACGCACGCAAAGCTAGGAATTAGCAAGCAAGGCAACACGGCGTCGCCGATCGCCACCACCACCGGCAACGACACCACCACCAGCGACGACATCATAGCCACCATGAAATAAACCGTCCTTACACCCCTCCTGAACTTCTCCCACCACCATGCCCCTTTCATCACCATCTCTCCGCCAACAAAACACTCTTAATTTTTTAAATAATTTAAAGTAGGACCAATCGAAATGCGAGATCGGTGAGATATCGAAAGTACAGACGAACAACAATACGAAGAAGAATCCGGATGAAACGGCGTCGCAACAGCCATCCCCCAACGTCAAATCAACCGCCGTCGATTTCGCTTCAAAAAATACCAACGCCGCCGTATCAATTGGTTCAATTAAAATTCACACCGATTCCTCCTCTAATCCTCCGTTTCCGTAAATTGAAAGGATGAAGATGAAGAAGAAGAAGTAGAGAGAGAAACAAAATTTCTCCGCAAATATTTTCTTCCCTCGCCGGAGTCTCTCTCTCTCTCTCCTCTGTTTTTTCAAAGTGTGAGAGAGAAAGAGAGAATTAGTGTGTGTTGTGGGTGTTTCATCCGAGTTGTTTCCATCGAATCAAAAGTCCGAATTAGGAATTTGAAAAAATGAAATTAGGAAATATAATTAAGATAAACAATGAATGATTAGTGGAGGAAAAGAAGGTTAATTAAGATGGTGATTAATTAATCTGACAAACAAATTGATTCCCTCCCAAATATGCTGACCTTTTGCCTACCTGTCAGCTTTTTTCGTATTGGACTCTTCTGCCCCTGTCTTTGTTCTCTCCTTTTGTGTATCCCGAAGAATCAAAAAAGTCCGTGCTGTGCGTCCAGCTTCGATTTTACGAAAATGCCCTTTGGATTATTTTTTTGGCTTTCCCAAAAGTTTATAATGAGTAAAACCTAGACACAGCCACGAGCTGAGTTTGGGCCTGAACCGGTGGGTTTGGGTTGGAGAAACGTGAAATCGGAACCAAACTGGCCAAATGGTTCTCAACCGATTTGGCGGGCCAGTTCAGCGGTTCTGATTCGGCGGATCAACGAGAACCAATATCAGAAATTGGAACCGGCGCGCCAAACCGATTGAATCGGGCCTCCAGTATCGTAAGTCGGAACTGGCTCATAATACTGGTTTCGATTCCGAGCTGGTACAGTTCGCCGATTTCGGTAACCGGCTCATAGATGTGTCGAAGTAAAACCCATATTTAAAACCATTTTTTTTTTTTTGTCTAAGTAAAACCACATTATTTGAATTTTAAATTGTTCGTTAAAAGTTTGTTTAAATTTAATTTATTAACATAACGAAAATGGTTAGAGCACTTCTTCATCGAGAAGGTTAGAGCCCTTCTGAAAAGGAAAGGCTGCCGCCGTTTCTTCTGCATCTCTCTCACTCATCACTTCTCTATATAAGTGTACGAACAGAAAATTATAAGTTTACGAGCAACAACTATCTATATCCAACGATACCGTATTAACTATATAATGCAATTGCGATATTTAAAACTAAAATTATGGTTCACTAACAAAATAAAAGCTTATATAAGTGAAGTATATATATCATATTTTATTTATAACACCAATAGAAAGAAAAAGGAGAAAGAAAAAATCCACTATCCTTGAGATGTTAAATCCCTAATACCTAAATACAAAAGGTTGACTTACTCTATAGTCGCAATCATTCAAAGAACAACATCTCGACAAAATCTTGAGCATGCTAACTGCGATTTTCTAGGAGAAATACACATACTAGAAAACACAATCAAATCGTGTTAATAGAACCTAAAATCAATACATGTACATTAAAAAATTCTATTAATTTAGTTTTTTTTAAGGCTACAGTTCAGCTTTTATAAATACAGTGGAGACTAGAAAAAATCTATTAATTCATTGAAATATTAAATTATTGAACTAATAATTTTATAACTTTTCACCGAATCGGGACCTAAATAAATTTTATTTAAACGAGGTTATTAATTTATCGAGATTATACTGTATGTAATAATATACATATACATAGATAAAAATAGAAAATAAATACTAATTATTAGATCTATAATTCTTTTACAAAGATTGACAAATTTCGTGTCCAAAAAAATGTTCTTATTGATCTTGTCGTTGTGTATGCATCGTTCTTCACAGTCAATGCATATCATTGAGTATAACATTTGTTGTATTTCTATAGATTGAGAAATGACTACTAACCGGTTATTTCTATGTTACATCCGATGAAAGTTACACAATGTGAATTCTTACCATTGATCTAAACGCATCAACGTCGGAATGTGTGTTTGTGCGTATGAACAGTAAAGATCTATACGGTGTAGGCCATACGAACCTTGAGATATTAAAAACAGATTAGCACTTTGACTAAGTTTTAATTCAACAAACAAAGTTCTCAATTAACCTCGAGATGTTAAAAACAACATTATTTTTTTAGACTGAGTATGCAAAATTCCCACTTGACTTTTTCTTTATTCAACGAACAAATTTAATAAAATTTTTAGAGCATGCCTCGGTGCAATTCCCTAGGTAAACACTAAAATATAGCTCAAGAAAACAATAAAAACGAGTCAAGATGAATGACAGGGTCAATTTGGACATTTAATTCATTATTTATAAATTAAATAAAGTATAGCTCAGTAAATTAAATATTAATTTAAACAGTACTTTTTAATTATCGCAATAGTATTTAATGGATTTTATAAAGCTAATGTGAACCAAAAAGTATATGATTTTCACATTTAATGGAGGCCAATAGGGTAAATTTGGGCCAAACTCACTATATTGAGCTTATTAAATAGTATAAAGATAACACGTATGGATTGAAAGAGATTTCTTTGGTCCATCGATCCAATATACAGTCAAAGCTAAGATCACTTTAGAAACTCGTCCAAAGAAAGCTCGTTAGTACCAAGCGTGCTAAACGATGCCCTTGAGATAACAGGGTGGCAAGCTCGCCGGCTCGTTTGAAGTCCGAATATTCAAGAGACGATGGAGGGGTAAGTAATGAGCTGAAGGAGAGTCGTTGGAAGAAGAGGATTCGAACATATTTTTCATAAATAGATACGAAAAATACGTAAATCAGAAATAATGATTGATCAATCAATGTAAATCTCGACGAATGATTCTAAAATAGAAAATAGTCATGCACAATTAGATCTTAATATGAAAACAAATATTGATTTGCATTATTTGTGTTTGAAATTTGAACGCTGATTTTTTTATATGAACACATCATGGATGTCAATTGTTAACGGAGACAACCAGACACCGTGGTCGGGGTCCAAAAATAAGAAGAAAAATTCGCATCGTGGGTCCCATTTGCCATCCACTCATATTTAGCCACGTGTCACCTTGTTACACTCTGTCCAATAAACATACTTCGCCGTCTACTAGATGCCACGCCGGCCGAAGCTGGATTTTAACGGTCTGATTGATGATTGATAAATGTTGTCATTTATTTATTCTATTTAATTAATTCAAACTATTATTAATTTGTATTATTTTGTTATACAACATATTTTTATATATTAATATTGGAATATTTACAAATTGTTATCTAATTAATTAATTTATATCAAGATTAACCATTAACTGCAACTAGAAATTTGAGCTATCAAAATTAGAACACTAGCATTCTTGAGTGACCTATAAGTGTATACTATAAAATATATAATAATATTGATACTACGAATTAAATTTCTGAATTTTTGGGGATTCCCTCGAAATATTTTAGAAAATTAAAATTATAAATTACAATTCACTTTCCACAAAAAAAAAAAAAAAATCAAAAAAATCAGAAACAAAAAGTTTTTAGATCCGAAATGAAAAATACTATTGCAAAGTTTGGAAAATATTTCGATCGTGATCAGAATTGGTGGAATTCGAAATTTCGAGTTCAACCTTCTTAATTTGAGTGGGTGAACCGATTTTATTATCCTAATCAAAATAAAATAAATAAGTAATAACAAAAAATAAAATTATACTATTAAATTAGTACATATTTACTTAAATTTAATTTGAGTTTAACTTTGGCCCACAAAAGATGAGCTGTCAAAAGCTTTATAGCTGGTGCAATCAAATCGTGCTTAAACTTTAAACATTTATAGGCGCCATTGTTTTTACATGATAAAGCATAATTAAAAAGCGTGTTTTGATAGAATCGCGACATACTTGATTTTGATTTGACATCTTTATAAAATGAGCTTAAATAAATAAATTAAAATGCTTATTATTTATGTGAATAAATTAAAAATCAATGAGAAGGAATATCCAGTTAGTGGAAAGTTGATTGGAGTTTTTGTTGATTTTTCCGTTAATATTCATTTTTTAAGGACTTGTCGTTATCGAATAATTTCGGGTACTAGGTAAAAATCTTTGGATCATATTGGAATTAACACTTTGAAAGAAAAAAAAATCATTTTTCTCATAAGTGAAAAACAAATTCCAAGTTTGTTGCAATTTTATTTTCGGAAACATCGGAATTTTTCGGATCGAAATCGACGAGTGATTTTATAAATATAGTTCTCGGAATATATATATATATATATATATATATATATATATATATTGATGCTGCTCCAAAAATGATGGGTCAGCCCAATGGTCTTGAAGCCCACAGGTCTTCTAAGTCCGGGAATCTTCAAGCCCAATATCGGGAATGCCGAGAGTCCTTCCCACGCGTCCGAGGTAGTCGAAGGGATCGCTCCACTTGTTAACCTACAAAACAGTTGAAAACACTAGGTGACACGCCGGGGGTGGCCCGGCGATTGTCCTCCGACGCTCAAGTCAGAAAACTATCACAATATAAGCAAATAATATTAATTACTTGCCTAAATAGTGTTTACCTTATTATATGAGTTAAATCACATATTTATAGGTGATGAAATATGGAGACTTCTTGTAGAAATCCGATGTGGGACAATATGTTATAACTAAAATCCTATTGAATTTTAGTAGATGTGATAATTGGGCTTTTATTATTAATTGGATTGATTTGGCCTTTTAGGCCAAAAACCCAATTAAGAATTAGGCACATCATTAAGCCCCCCACTCCCAAGTAGGGCCACAGGCACGTGGGCCTAGTTGGGAGTAACTTAGGAACAGTCGTTCTTTAGCGGGGCAAAATCCCTTGGCTTTATTGCCTAGTGGGAAGCACGCATTTCGTAAAGAATGAGTTATGCTTCATCTTTTCCGGTGAGACGGTATCCCTTGGTTATATAGCCTAGTGGGAGGCTCGGCTCTCGTAAGGAATAAGCTTTTACTTTATCTTTTTAGGTAAGACGGTATCCGTTGGCTTTAACGCTTAGTGGGAAGTCCGTATTTTTGTAAAGAATGAGTTATGCTTCATCTTTTTCGGTGAGACGGTATCCCTTAGTTATATAGCCTAGTGGGAGGCTCGACTCTCGTAAAGAATAAGCTTTTACTATATCTTTTTAAGTAAGACGGTATCCCTTGGCTTTAACGCCTAGTGGGAAGTCCGTATTTGTACACTTGGTGGTTGATCAGACCCTCAAGTTTTTCATGTAGGAAGTCTGCCCGTTTACCTAAGTTTTGAAGGGCGGGTAAGACTCCCCGGAGCTTTAATTGCTCTATTTTTTGGAGCTTTGGGGAGTGAGAAAACAAGGTTCGGGTTGGCCAGACCCTTTGTGATCCTTGATATCTTTTCCTTTAGCTATTTTTTGAGTCTATTGACTTTTTGTTAAATCTATTGTAGATGTCTTGAACAAAAACGCGTAGAGAAGACAAATTGTTGATGTAGAAATCACGGTGGCGATATCCCACCGACTAAAATATTTTATTAAGAATCATGCGACTGGCGGTATGCCTTGAAAATATTGTGCGGGGCGGTATGCCACCGACTTATTGCTGAAAATAAATTACATGGGGCCCGCATGGGGCAATAGTAAATACTAAGTAAAGTATTTCTTCAGGATTGCGATTGTTCTAGGAATTCTCTCAAGTGCCCGTTTTGGACAAGTCTCCCGAGCGCTCGCATAAGCTGAAAACACTCATCAATAGTGTGACCTCGAGCTCTGTGGTATTCACAGTAGTTATCCGACTTTTGTCGTTCTGGATTCTCATTCCTCCTTTTCGGTGGTTGAAGAATACCCTTCTGCTCAGCGATGATCATCATGTCAAGAAGTTTATCATTGAGGTGAGAACTTCCCGAAGGTGCGATTTTCGATGGGATGTCTCTCTTCTTCTCTATTATAGTTGTGGCTTTCCACGTCGCGCTTTCGTTTAAGGGGTACTCTCATCTCCGTGATCTCCTCAATCCGTATGTACTTCCCAGCGCGGTTCAAGAGCTCCTCCAAGGTCTTAGGGGGTCGGCCCGCGATGGACTCTCGAAAACGAACATGCTTCAAATTTTGTTGTAGTATGCCGGCTAACATCTCGTGAGTAACGTGGCGCACTTCATGTACTGCTTTGACAAATCATTGTATGTAATCTCTGAGTGGCTCTCCGTCTCGTTATATGACCTTGAAGAGATACGATCCAGTTTTGGCATATTTCTTATTCATTGAGTCGTGGTTAAGGAAATGTGTCGCTAGTTGGTCCAGATTGTCTAAGGACCCTCCGGGCAAGCCGTTGAACCAAACTTATGCCTGATCAGTCAGCGTAGTCTGAAAAATCTTGCAGTAAGCTGTGTTACTGAGGCCGTAGAGGTCAAGCTTGGCGTAAAAGTTATTTAACTGTTCTTGGGGATCTCCGGTCCCGTCAAATTGGGGTAGATTGGGGATCCTAAATCCGAGAGGTACGACTTCTTCCATAATGGCAGGAACAAATGGGCTTATTCGAGCGGGGAATGTTTCAAAGCGAGCGGTCGTTGGCCTCGAAGCTTTTCGTCGAGGTCTCCTTGAGTTACGGTCATCAATGCCCTCACGGCTCATTTTCTTTTCAGATTGGGAATATCTACTTCCAAATTTATTTCCGATAGAGTCTCTATGGCGAAAGGAGCGCTCGTTATTCCTGTCATATCGTGATTCGTGGCGTGCCACACCCGGCCGAGAAGAAACACTTCTCTCTCGACGGCTATGCGCCGCTCTCTCCCTTGGAGGAGCCCTCTGCCTCACGGGGCGTGGTGACCGGCGGCGAGCTTCTCTTCGAAGGGGGCGGTTCGATGATGGGTTGTGATGAGGCGATTGGTGGCGAGCGTATCTTCGAGGCTCACGATCTGAGGATGCGCTACACTGAGGCGAGTGGTGGTGAGCCTCTTCGAGGAGCTCGTTCGGAGAAATAACTTTGGCTGTCGAGCGATACTCTTTTAAGGCTTGTAATTCCTCTGCAGTCATCTAAATGACCGGCGCAGAAGATCCCGCAAGGTTGGCCGCTCCCGTCGTTCTCTTCCTTCGAGGCGGCTCTATGACTCCAGCGTTACCTTGAAGCGGTTGCTGGAGATCGCCTTGACCACCTTCGTTGGCCGCTCCCGTAGTTCTTTTGGTTCGAGGCGGCTGTAAGACTCTACCGCTCTTCGAGGCGGCTCTGAGACTCCGTCGCTTCCTCGAAGCGGCTCTAAAACTCTTCCGCTCTTCGAGGCGGCTCTGAGACTCCGTCGCTTCCTCGAGGCGGGCGGCTCTAAAACTCTTCCGCTCTTCGGGGCGGCTCTGAGACTCCGTCGCTTCCTCGAGGCGGCTCTAAGACTCTTCCGCTCTTCGAGGCGGCTCTGAGACTCCGTCGCTTCCTCGAGGCGGGCGGCTCTAAGACTCTTCCGCTCTTCGGGGCGGCTCTGAGACTCCGTCGCTTCCTCGAGGCGGGCGGCTCTAAGACTCTTCCGCTCTTCGGGGCGGCTCTGAGACTCCGTCGCTTCTTCGAGGCGGCTCTAACACTCTTCCGCTCTTCGAGGCGGCTCTGAGACTCCGTCGCTTCCTCGAGGCGGGCGGCTCTAAGACTCTTCCGCTCTTCGGGGCGGCTCTGAGACTCCGTCGCTTCCTCGAGGCGGGCAGCTCTAAGACTCTTCCGCTCTTCGGGGCGGCTCTGAGACTCCGTCGCTTCCTCGAGGCGGCTCTAAGACTCTTCCGCTCTTCGAGGCGGCTCTGAGACTCCGTCGCTTCCTCGAGGCGGGCGGCTCTAAGACTCTTCCGCTCTTCGGGGCGAGTGGTTGGGATCGCCTTGATCCTCTTCGTCATGACACGTGATCTAGTTTGCCTTCCCACAGACGGCGCCAATATGATGCTGCTCCAAAAATGATGGGTCAGCCCAATGGTCTTGAAGCCCACAGGTCTTCTAAGTCCGGGAATCTTCAAGCCCAATATCGGGAATGCCGAGAGTCCTTCCCACGCGTCCGAGGTAGTCGAAGGGATCGCTCCACTTGTTAACCTACAAAACAGTTGAAAACACTAGGTGACACGCCGGGGGTGGCCCGGCGAT